TAAAGGAAAATAGGTTGTAAGTAGGGGTGAAACTGGGCTGGGCCGGCCTACAGGGGCCTACGGCTCGGCCTACATCAGGCCAGATCTGACCTAGTATATTTTGTATAATAGGTCGGGCTTGGGCCTTAAAAAAGCTTGTTTAATAAAAAGGCCGTAGGCCTACTTTCAAAAGGTCGGGCCTATAAGCCCGCAGGCCAGCCTATATTGTACTATTTATTTTAAATAAAATAAAATAGAGTAAGTATGTCTTGAAGAAAAAACAAAAGATATAAATTTAATCAATTGCAATTATTTATAACTTAATTATATTCAATTATATTTTAATAGAAATCTTATTTTATTTCTTATATAGGTGGAACCAACATCTCAACATGTTAGATTGTATATATGAATATATTAAAAGATTTTTGGGAGAGTTATACTTACTACAAGCATCATGATTTGTTTGTTGGATTCATGTAGTTATTTTAATTTACATAGTATGAATTTGTTTATTGGATTTGATGAAATATATGTTAACATTTTGCTTTCGAAAATGACTTAAGTGCATATTGTATGAGTTTTGTTATGATTCATGATTCTGTTTGGACGTTGAAATTATGATTTTTGGTGTAGCAACTGAATTTGAGTACTTTGTAAAGTTGATTCATGGTTCTGCTTGGAACTTAAAAATTAACAGGCTAACGGGCCAAGCCAGGCCATTTGTTTTTTATAAACGGGCCAAACCAGGCTAACAGTTAGACTCATACTAGGCTTGGGCCAGGCCAAATTGAAAATTTTTAACGTAGACTTGGGCTTTTCGGTGCAAAGCTTGGCCCAGCCCAGCCCACTTTCACCCCTAGTTGTAAGTATAACGTCACCCTTCCAAGATTTATCAAATAATATAAAATTAAACTTACTTTTTTGGAGTGTGTGTATGGACAATTACCCTATATGCATGATTTAGGGTTGAAATTATCTCTTACATTTCTTTTCAATTTGGCTTTCATTAAGAAAAAGAGAAGGCATCAAAATTATGAATTTGTGTCTGTCCTTGAATTTTTATTTTAAAAAAAATGATAGCAAATTTTCTATCTAGACCTTCTTTCGGACCTCCCTACTTTGAAGGATATTTTTTGTGACCAAATGATAGTAGTTCAGTTGACGTTAGGAAACTGAACAGGTAGAGGTGAGACTTGAGAGCATGGTTCGATTATTTCCAGTACTGTTTTGGAAGGGGTTTAAAGCCTTAATCTCAGATTCGTATGTAATTAGACTAATCGCGAAACGATGAACCGATTAAAATATCTAAAAAAAAATAAAAAAATCTCTTGCGATAACAACATACAAATTATATTGCTAAAAATGCATTGCAATATTGGTAATTTTTGATTTGAGGGATGTGGACTTTTTATATCTTTTGGTAATTGCCAAGGGCATGCGCAACCGCGTGCTATTCGATAGTGAAATTGAACTTTAGCTTTTCCCCAATTGACCCCTCTATTAAGTGCGCATTTTCTTGATCGATCAACAACATATTTAAACAAAAGAATGTCATCCCTATTATCATCATTGGTTAGCAAGGGTTGACGAAAATCTTTTTAAAGGCCAACTGTTTTTCCTTATGGATTTGGTATTGAGTAGCAATTGAATTTGAATCCTTCACCCTTCTATTTTATAAAAGTCAAAAAGGTTGTCCCAAACGAAAGTTATTAAATGTGGAGAATGCCAAGTATAGAAAGACATGTGGTTTGCATTTCCTTAACAGAGCCACTAATAAACATAAAAAAATATAACGAGGTTGATGGAAGTAATTTTTAAGCAATTAATGACTGTAATCACAAATAGGACACATGAAATATAATGGGCAGAGATTTGCTACCAAATAATATGTGTATATACCATCATTGACTCTTAATTATACCTTCTTTAATTAAACTCCTACCAACTAAATCTTTTATATTACTTTTGAAGTTTCTTCTATTTGTGCAATGCAGAGAAAGCTAGCTAGGAGAAAAATATATTTGTTGTGTACTAGCGCCAATTATGGTCAATTATTTTCATGGCTTTTGGTTCTAGTCTATCATTGAATTCAATTATTTTTGTCTAATAATTCCAAAACTTCATTTGGCTGTACTCTCCTTTTGTATTTTTAATCTAAAGATTGATGCATGCTTTATAGTGGTCTATTAACAATCATTTTGGTTGTATATTCCTCATTGTCCTTATATATTTTGTTAGATGCTCTCAATTATACCCAATACCTAGTTATAGCAACTTTGAAATTTAAACTTCCATGTAAACACAGTTTAAATTGGAATTTGAAAGTAACAGGGAAAATTGGAAGGAAAAAAAAAAGTGAACGAATAGGGGATTATCAACATTGATTTGATGGTTTAGTTATGATATCCTCATGAGTTTTCTAACATTCCCTTTCCGTGGAACCCTAATATTACATCAAATTCCATTTCCCCGGCCCCCTCTCTCCCCTCTCTCGCCCTTTGGTGTATGAAATGGTTGAATTAATTTCTTTGATTTTAGAAGTAATCTTGTCATTCGCTTTTTAAGTGATGTCTGACAATTGACTCTGTATGGGATGTACATGTGCATGTTTATATGCATGCGTTGTCACTTGAGTTTAATAAAGCATAGAACTTCAAAGTTTTCTCTCTTCAAGTCTGTCTATACAAATTTAGCCATGTAAGTCCAATATGGCAAAGAATGATCACACTGGAATATTTAGACTTTGCCATGTCGAACCTTTAACATATAAATCAGACTCTTGAATAATTAATTACCCCTAAGAGAGATAGACATTTCTTCATTCAATTTGCTGAGTGTATAAAACAAATTAAAATAAGATAACTAAGGCAAGCTGGTCATTAATTTCATGAGGATGCACATTGGTCATTTAAGATGCTTTGGTTGTGGGTATATGATATCCTTTAAAATTTATGATATTATGTGAATTGTTAGCATGATGAGTTTAGGTCTGTATCCCTTGAAGATATATATTGTTATGAGGGGAATGATCCGTTTATAATTTTTTTTTACAAATTACACTAAGTATGACCGGTCATACATTCTTTATTGAAATATGACCGGTCATACTTAGTGTAGTTTGTAAACAAAAAATTTGTAAATATAACCTTTTTCTTGTTACAGAGGTTGTTCATAGAGACAATGGTAGCACATCAATATGTATGATGATGAGTTGTATATGAGATGAGAGATCATCTATTATGAGGTTATAGGAGTCTCACTTTTCGGAGACAGGAGAGTGACCTCTTCTTATTAATTACTTTCAATTTTATTTTTTTATGTTGAAATTTTTTTTTTATTTTTTTTTTTTGATAACATGAAATTTATTTATTTTCCCCAAATTTTAGTTCATACTTTTAAAATATCTACTCTCAAATTTTTTTCATTACCAAATTTCAGCTGTTTATACTATCAAATAATTATTATTTTTACATGAAAAATTGTTCTTTATCACCAAATATTAGCTATTTTATTTTTATATATTAAGTGATTAGTAAGTTTTTGCTAAGGCAGATGATGTATGTTACCTAAGGATAGTTTCTTATTCCCGAAAGTTTAATTAGTAGTAATTTTTTAATTCTCCTTTATCATGGCTTTTATGTCTAATTGGCAATGTCGATAAATATTGGATAATTATTAATCATTGAGAGAGAGAGAGAGAGAGAGAGAGAGAGAGAGCTTGCTTTAATTTTGTGATGAAATGAAATCAATTGACAGAATGAAGCAAAATCACATAGAGGTCAGTGTGAAGGGAGGGGTTTCCTATTTTGTCCAATCTAGCTTAGAAACATAAATTGAATATAGGGATGAAGTCATCAGCCAGCGTTATTCCATAAAGTATCTCCTCTAAGCCGTTGAGTTCTGTTATAAATTCGTAGGACCCATGAGGGACACATGGCCCCTTCATGTCTTGGGTCTATTACGACAAGATTAGGGAAGGGTGCCTTTGCGTGGGCGCCTCACTGTTGGGTCACCTAGAGCATATTTCCCCACCTAATGCACAGAAGGATACCCTAAGCTAGACAGCGTTGTTCCCATGTGCACAAATTTAAGAGCAACATTCCAAAACGACAACCTCCTTTGTGCTCCCCCCTACTCTTTCTCTTCTCATATATATTCTTCTTAACATCATCTTTTTGACAACAAGGTAAGAACGATACCTGTGTCTTTCACATTCTATCCTTACCTTTTCATGGAACCTGATCCAAAATATAAATGGGATTTATTTAATTTATGTTGCATAAGACAATTATCTTATATAACAGAGACAAAATAATGGATCCATTATCTTTTCTTTTCTTTTTTAAAATAGTGTATCTCATTACATTGTTTCTATTATCTTATACAACATAAGATGATTATTTCTCAATATAAATATATATATATATATATATATTAATTATAGAAAAATATTTTTTCCCATCTTTTATAAAAAAATAAAATAAAACTAGAGAGACTCACATATTTATCTCCAACATAATAAGATTAATAAATCCCATTAATTATCTCTTAATTTATATTCTTTTCCACTTCTGGTTAATTACAAATTTGAATTGATGTAATTAGTACGGAATCTCGTAAACACTATATCGTATATAACTTCTTTAGCATGTTTTGATTGTTATTATATTCCTATCTAGAATTTGTAATTCCGTAGAACTCATCAAACAAATAAAATAATGCAGACTGCTCTGTGGAATTTTATATGCAGAATCCTTTTTTTTTTTTTTTTTTTTTAAATATTCGACTTTCCCTCTGCTTACCTCCACTACTCTATACAAAGTTACGAACAATACATTGGCATTTAAATGGATTATTATTGAGTTGAGTCAACGGGTTGTTTTTCATACATTCATGATTCATGTGTATACATTCCCGTGATGATTTATTGTGAGTGTCATGTATAATTTGAAATTAGTCTTTCTTGAAAGTCATTTGATTAGACGGATCTTTTGACGTTTTTTTAAACCTAAGACAAA